TTGGGGTGCTGTGGGAAGACTATAGTCAGCTGGACTGGGGGACTTCTTGTTGCTAAGTTGGTGGTTGAGCTTCCCCAAAAGCCTCGTTAATGAATCAGCACTGAACTAAGGGAAATTTCTGAGGCCAGCCCCACACCTCCGTGGCGCACTTGGCATTTGCATCCGCCTCTGAACGAGCGCTGCAGCTGAAAAGCCAACTCACAGGTACCGCCCTGGAACCCAAAGGAGGCAACGCCCGCTGCCAGTAAGCGGCCCCGTGCCCTGATACACATTATAGATATTTCCTTCTTATACAAATTATAGGTAAATATCATTAAACGATACAATTTATGTAATTCTGTATTTCTAATTTAGGCAGAACTAAGTATCTGTACTTAAAGTGTACATGTTATTTAAGGACTACATAACTATAATTAAAACACATGGATTTCAATTACATATAATATAAACTACATATAGAGAGGAACACAAAACTGCTCTGAGGCTCAGATTTCCTTAAGTACAGAGCAAGGCGAGTACTAGTTTTTGCACCTGAGGCTAGTGGAGGTAAAACAGTGCTGAAGCCAAAGGCCGCAGCCCAGGCTCCGTGCAGGGCGCGACGCTGCTCCAGGCTGCTCTGAGCACATGCTTGGCCCATGGGCTCCTTCAGCAGAAGGTCCTGTCCCCAGCCTCGTCCAGGCAGACCGTCCACAGCAGGTGGGCTTCAGCCCCAGCTCACCCTTCTGGGAGGGAAAGGGACCCATGCTGGCCATGGACACGCGCTGCTGAAGAAGGGCCCAGGAGGCCCCGCAGGAGCTCAGGGAATGCTGAGCAGGGTGGCACTCATTCACTGTCCTCGTCCCTAAGTACACGGTCATCCCCCAGGAGCCAGCACTGCTGGGGTGAGACCAGGGCTGTCGCTAATCTAGAGAAGACCTGGGGAGCAGGAGCAGCAGCCAGGCAAAGGATCGGGAAGCTACAGGCCCTTCAGAGTCCCCTGACCACCCCTAGCACCCCATGTCTTCTTGCTGAAGACACAGAAAAGAGGACCTTGCCCAGACTCTGCTCCTTTCTCTGTACCAATGCGGAGCACCAGGAAGCCCAGTCTATACTGTGGCTAGAAGTACATTTTAGGGTGAGATGCCCTCCTGGGCTTTGTCATCATGAGGGTAAAGAAGAAAGTGCAGGTGGGGACACCATGAAAAACCAGTACGACAGTGTGAACCACAGCAACAACCTGTGCGGCGGCGGCTACCGAATGTCATTGTTGTGCCCTTGCAGACAGTTGGTGAAAGAGTACGAATCTGTTTTGCTTTTATTTGTTTTTAATGCACAAAGGGAATGTGGAAGAACACCACTTCTTGTCACAGTGATCACCGTCTGCACCCCGTCACGGCACCTTCCCACCCCTTCTTTTTTGTCCGGGACGTGATCTCTGTTTTGGGCTCTCCTTTCTTCTACCCTGTCACGGAATCCTGCTGAAAGTAGGGGTGGGGGTGAACCCCTGCAACTGCCACTCCTGAGCTTAACTCACTTTTAATTGCAAACGGAAAAGCTGAGGCATAAAAAACGCTGGCTTCATTTCCAAGAGCACTCTTGGGCTCGGCTCTCCTTGAACGGCAGCGTTGCGCGGGACACAGAATTTCTTCAAGTCTGCTGCAAATCAAGCCCTTTCTTATATGCTGCTGCCATCATTAATTATAACAAATAAGTGCTGTGTTGGCGTTGTCCGGCACCGGGACATTTTTCATGTCTGAAAGATGAATTTGTAAAACATGTATTAATTTTGAACCATGAAGTCCTCCTTGCAACTGAGTAGGCCAGCAAGTGCTGAGTTCCAGCATTACGTGCGTCCATCTGGATATTTAGAAAACAGTTTTCCAAAGATGAAATTCCCATGGATTTGTGCCATGGATAAGTCATTTGGAAAGCAAGTGTTTGTAATGAAGCTTCAATTAAAATAGGGAACACCTGTCTCATAAATCAAAAGAAAATCTGAAGGCAGCTTGAGAGCTTATGTGGACACAAATAATTAACTTGCATTTTAGGTTTCAGCTCTGTATGAGCATCGATTTTCCTCCTTATTTTAAATGAGGACCTTTATACAGATACAGACTTCCCTGTTATGAAGAATGCATTTGGGTAACTGGGAGCCTCATGTACCCGGATAAACTCCAATGTGGTCAAAGCGGAGCGGTCCTGTCCTTCTCTCTGACGCCCACGCTTTCTTAGCCTGAGGCCCAGCGGCCAAAGCCTTACCTACTAGGTGAGGATGAAGAGTCCGGCTGAGGCAGGCTTCTGTCTTTGCCTGTACAATAGGAGTCAGACGAGGTCAGTCAAATCCCCTCAGGATTTACCCTGAAACCATGTAAAGCAGCTTGTAGATCTTTTGTCAGTGTCAGCCATCTGGATGAGTCACGGCCATTGCTTGACCAATTTGCTCTCTGTGAAAGCCTGAGAGAATGTTTTCTCTCTAGGTGACCCTCCTTAGGCACACTCTACATTGTCAATCACTTTCCTCTGTGGCCACATAATCTCCTTGAAAATTTGGAACACCACTGAGTTACAGAATGTTACAGTACAGGTTCTCTTCTGTCCCGAGTCCTCACTGCCTAGTCGGGAGCACTGTAGACTAACAAGGGCCCTTACAGAGAACCAGAAGGGGACAATCACCATTTGTTGAAAAC